CTGACTCCAATAATTGTGTGTAAAATATACCGTATAAGAAATTACTGTGAAATGTAAAGCCTTTACATGAAATGCATTTTAAAATAGTTTTTTTTAATGTCTGTTAAAAAAATTACATTAAACATAGCAAGAAATTAATTTGTACATTATATAAAGTGTTTTATAGTTGTTTAATGATATATAGAACACACATACAAATTGATGAGAATATCAATTTTCCTGTAGGGTACAGACTGACAACCCTCAGAAGAGGGGGTGGTGGGGTGGGAAGAGATAAACCACAGAACTTATATGCATGTATGCATAACCAATGGACATGAACAACAAAGCCGGGGACAGGGCGGGGGGGGATGGGGAGGTGGGTGTCAATGGGGTAAAAAAGGAGAAACATCTGTAACAAAAATAAAAATAAAAAATAAAAAATAAATAAAAAATAAAAATAAATTAAAAAAAAAATATATATATATATCAATTTTCCTGTGGCTAATAGCAAAAACATGACATTTACAAGTTAAATAAATATGTAAAGACAATATTTAACCTTGATATGAACAAAGAAATATAAATCAAAACACTAATAAAATACTGTATTATATGTATTAAGTCAGCTTTAAAAATCGGCCTTCCTCCGACATGGCCACACTCTTTGCCTTGATTCCCTTGCCCTAAAGCTTAATACATGACACTCCATCAGATTCTTTCCCCAGAAGACTAAGTACTTATCAGTTCACTCAATCACCAGCCATTGATTGAGCATCTTGTCAAATTTCATTCTTTCTTCAAGGACAAGCATGAATCTATTCTCCTAATACCTGACCCAAAAAAACTTCTCCAATCTCAAAAGCTTTGTAGCATTCTTCTATAGCAATGTTTCCCAAACCTACCGTTATTGACATTTGGGGCTGGGTAATTTTTTTCCTTTTGGGGGAGACACTATTCTGTGCATTATAGGATGTTTAGCAGCATCTCTGGCCCCTAGTCACTAAACGCCAATAGCAAATACCTTCTCCTCCTCATTGACCCCCCCACCGGCAAACTATGACAACCAAAAATATCCCCCTACCTTCCAAACATTTCTAACTGTTCCTGTGGTGGGGTATTCCTAACTAATGGGTATTAGACTTACGTAGACTTACTGGGTGATCACTATGTTGTATACCTGAAAGTAATATAATATTGTATATCAACTGTAATTGAAAAAAATAAATTTTTAGATCATTACTGACTGAGAATCACTGTCTATATAGCATTCTTATTTTACTGGTTAATCTTTGTGGGATTATGACTTCTGATATTAGATATGCTTTTTAATTAAATTATTATTGATGTATTATGTTTCATTAACTATTTTCATGTATCTTTCTTTTTTGAGTAAATATCTGACAAATTCCCTACGGACAGGTATATTGTGTTGTACTGTTTCGTATCTGCCAGTGACTAATTGGTCCGTGTTGTCTGCCACTGGATAATTGACTTATTTTGGCATAACAGCAAGGACTCTGGAGCCAGCTGCCTGTGTCTAAATTCTGGTTCTTCCACTTACTGTTACTTCAGGCAGTTTACTTCACCTCTCCACAGTTCAGTTTTACCATGTATAAAAAGGGGGAAACAGGATTTTCTTCATAAAATTCTTGTGAGAATTTTTAAAATACATAGTGTTTAGTGCAAAACACTAAAATAATGCCTTTCCACAATAAATATTATCCAAAAATCACCTAATATAATAAACATAGAACACCAAAGGATGCAACTTAGCAGAATGGCTAATTTCTGCCCTTTGAAAAGGCATAAAAACCATATCCAACAAGCTAGAAGACCACGTGCAAAATAAAATGTTAAAGATCGGTAACAAGCAAGCCTTACCAATGTAGAGTAGAATGGTTTTCAAATAACTGACAAAAATATTTGGCATTCAAAGAAAGGAAAATCACAGAGGAATGGAATGGTGGAGGAAGGAGTCACAGAGAGGTAAAATTTGAGTAGAACTTGAAAGAAAGTTGTGAAGAGGTGAGAAAATAGGCAGAGAGAAAGTTTCAACCAAAACCCCAGGAAGAGAAAAACACGAGCCATTCTGGGGAGAGTGAGTAAACAAGTCTGACTGGAGCAGAAGGTAGAAAAGGACATGTTAAAACAAAACAAAACTCCAAGTTCACGTTTTGTCATGTGGAGTCCATATACCCATAAGCAATCAAAACCATTCCTACCCACATTGTTCAGTTGTTCTAGTTGCCATTGGTGGCTGGAATAGCAATGGTCAAGGCCCGCAGTCCAATACGAAGCAGGCTTTCAGCATATATGTTTTTTTATTTCAACAATAATAGTAACAATAACTCACGATCATTGAACCTTTTCTTCATACCAGATAGTGTACTGAGCACTTTATATTTATTATAGTTAAATTAAATTAATGCTTTCCCACAGCAGACTACATTTCACAGATAAAATTACTATGTGAAAATACTATTTATATTCTAGTTGAATAGCTCCCCCAACATCACACAATCAATGTCACAGAGGAGATTGAAACAGCTGTGATTTCAGCTACTATACTAACATCTTCCACAGCATCTTCTTTCTCTAGATTTTTCTTTATAACTTTTTCGGTGGCGTGTGTTCCTTTATGAGTCTCAGACCTTCTGTTATTCTGAGTTTTCCTTTTTTTGCTATACCTTGGACACGGCATTTTTTTATTGGTCCTCTGGTTGTTCTTTATATAGGTACAGTCTTGATCAATGTAATATAGTAACTTTCTTAACACCTACAATTACTATCAGAAATACATTCATATACTCATACTAATTTCAAATTTTTTGTAATTAAAAATTTTTTTCTTAGGATTATATTTACTAACTTTCCTTGTAACATAAGCCCAAAATAAAAAATGTTGACTTGATGCAAAATAAAACCAACATCAATTGATTACAACAATCATTATTACTGTATCAATGTATCATGTCTCACATTAGGTGGGAGATAAGATTGGAAAGGTGTATTGAAATGTTAATTTGACAGTCTTGTTACAGGGGATGAAGTTTACATTGGAGCCTTAGGGATCCTTAAAAGTTTTGGAGTGGGCCAGTAAAATGCTGAATATTTTAAGATAACAAATTTGGTGTGGGCATGCAGGAAATTGGAGAAGAAAGAATTAACAGGTAAACAACCAAAAGATGATGATCCAAGACTGGGTGTAAAGGACATTTAAAAGGTGGAAGAAACATCATTTGTGATTTATTGGATATTTGGCTTAAGTGCAAGACAGAACATCTGAATCCACCAAAACACCACTATTAGGATGTCATGATCATGCTTATAAACCATAAAAGACATACACAGACTCCTTTTTCTGTTTAGCAGTCATCAGGAAGCTTAATCTCATGGACTTAGTATCAACTTCCATGCAGAGGAAATGCCTTCCATCAGGTCCCTGTTCTACCCGCCTTGGAGCTCATGGATGTAACTGCCAGTCCTCCTTCTCCTATGACACACACACACACACACACACACACACACACACATGTTATCTTTGGGACCCCATGTTTCATGTAGTTTTCTCCCACAGAAAAGATGATCATTTCATCTATTGAGCACCCACTGTCTGGCAGCTGCTGCATCTTTCCCACCTCCCCAAATCCTCCAAACAAGCCTAACTGTGCACTAAACGATGACCCTTCTGTCACAGAAGAACAAACAGGGGCTCAGAGAAATTAAGGGACTTGATTAAGCACCAGAGCTGGAATAAAGAAAGACAGAGAGAGAGAGAGAAGTCAAAAATTGTCATTTCAGTAACATTTTACTATTTACAAAACATATTTCCATTCCTTATTTCTTTACATCTTAAAAATAATTATTTTATCAATGGGAAATAGAGTTTTTCAGGGACCCCTTCTTGGATAACATTAGTTGAAGCTTTTAGGCCTACACTTAGGTATGAAGACATATTTCTTCCATAATACCAGCTTCCTCCAAGTTCCCTATAATTGGCAGATCCCTACTTCCCTAAAGAGTGTACTGACTCATCCCTTTTTAAGAAACTAACCTTAAATGCTTATCTCTCCCACGCCTGAAATCACACCTTTGGAAAGACAAGGAGCATCAGAGAAATAACAAAAGCAGCTGAAGTTCAATCCACATCCAAGACATTCTTATCTGTTCATGGAGAAAAGTCCATCCAAGTTGGTGGTAGCCTTCTAAGCAACACAGATGCCTGGAAAATGGGTATATATAAAGAATGAGCTGAGAGCTGTGCCCATTGACTTGACAGGTTCACGGAAAATGTTCTGATTTATGCACCTCTCCCTTCAAAGAACATGCACCCAAGGTTTACTTGAAGTGATTTTTTCACTGGGTCCAACTGACATTTCTTACAGAAGTTTAGCTATCTCTAGTATAATACCTAGGAAATTATAAGGCTGGGGGCGGGGGTGGCTGTTTATAACATAATTTACCTAATATTTGCATCCTCTCTCTCGAGCCCAGAAAGTTATTTTAGTGTTTCTTTCTAGACTGTGTGTTTTGAGGGAAGAAAGGGAGTTACTTTTACCACAACAAACATGAGGATGGAAATCTTGAGAATGCTAGCACTAGGTTACCAGCTTTATCTGCAGATGAAAACCTGCACTGAACAGATAATGGTTTATTCTGAACCTATTTTATGTGTATTTCCCCCAGCTCACCAAAATCATTGTCTTCAGAGTTTATGTCCATTATTCCTCCACCGTCTTCCCTGCAATCAAGTTCCCTGAATAAATACAGGGGCTGAGTTACAATTAAAAATAATGAGACTCTACTGGGCCAATGTCCTTGCATGCAGTGAAAAGGTGTGGGCTAATTGCAGGAGCAGAGTTTGGTGTGGTTTTTTTCTCCCATTTTGCTTCACTTTGATTGGTGGATTGGCACTTTAAATAAAGATTTCAGGTCTACCCTGATGAGAGATACAGAGCGAGTCCCAGGCACACACAGTCCAGAAAAAAAAAAAAAAAAAACTAATCTTTTTTTCTTAGAACGATCTCGGTTGGCATCACCAGGCCCTGAGAGCACAGTGCAGGCCAGCGCAGCAGGTAAAACGGCATTTTATGATTCTGTGTGATTCCTGTAAGTTCTCTTTGCCTATCTACAGACAGCTTTATAAAGAGGATTTATCTTCATTTGTCACCAGAAATTAAATAATAGCTTATTGTAAACCATTAGCAAGTTGCAGAGAAGATGTGCCTAATACCCTTCCAGCTAAGGGGGAAAAAAAGATTTATCTATAAACTATTTTGTATTATTTGTGATTATTATGATAGTATCTAATTTATAAAAATGTTAGAAGATGAGCAAATCTCTTGGCTAGAACAGACTTTCATTCATGTAAGGGTAAAGAGCCTTTGGAACCTGTAAAATAATTTTTTTTTTTTTGGTGGTACGTGCCCCTAACAGGAACTGAACCAGGGACTCTCCGGTCCACAGGCTGATGCTCAACCGCTGAGCCAAACTAGCCAGGGCTGTAAAATAATTTTAGAGAGACCACTTATTTTAGAAAAAGAAAAACTCAATTTTGAGAAATATTTTTCACTAACATTATAGAATATTTAAGTGTTAAGTTCATTCTTATTTTAAAAATATAAGTTTGAGTTATGTGAATAACCTTAGCATAGAATGATATATCCCATAAATTTGCAAATAAAGGTTTGTTATGAAATTAATATTGTCTGTATTTCCAGTGCATTTCCACTGCATTTCTAGTGCATTTCAAAATTTATTCTGGAAGGAAACAAAGTATAACCTCCTATAAATGATACTGAATAGACTAAAATTTTATATAGTAGAAGGGATTTTCAAATTTATATTTTATTTTACAAAATGAAGCGCAGCAATTAAAGAATATGCACAAAGGTTGTTCCTACATGTTCATTTAGATTGAAGTTTCACAAAAAAAGAACTTGGATATTTTCTAATTGCTTGTCAATTCTTTCCAAAAACTAGTAAATACAAATGAGTTGTTCAACAATGTTTAGTTTTTTATTTTTGTTTCTGTTTTTGTTTTTGTCTTGAACCTGGTTGTTTTGGAAGATCAGAGACTCAGCTCAATTGAAATACTGTCTTTTAACCATTCTGAAATAAAAATTTATCTGACTTAATTCTCCAACCTAACTCTGTTTCAGATACCACTTTTCAAGATGAAGAACTTGATACTGATCTTGTGCCTCCTGGAGACAAGTTCCGCAGTGCCGGTAAGTCTGAATCTCCTAGAGTGTGTCCCAGCACAGACATTGTTGGATACCAAGCAATACTGAAGGATGTTGGCTGAGAGTCCATGCATGGACTCATTTGAATGAATCCAGTGGTATAATTCCTACTGAGCCAGAAGCCATAGTTGCCCAGACATGAGCCTTACCTTCCAAAAGCAATAAGTCAAACGTACATTTTTTTTCTATTCAAAAAGATATTTAAAATATTTCAAAGACAATTCATAAGTCTTCTTCCATTCATTCAAAGAGACATGTGTTGTCTCCACAATGTCAAGGCACAGTTTTCTTATCGACTACTTGCTACTATTATAAAATTGAAATGGAAAGAGAAAATTTCTCCAAAAAAGTAAAGTACATTTTCTTCATTTTTAAAAGAATAATATTAGCCAAATTACTATGGCTACAAAACTGAGCTAGTAATTCCATTTGGAGCTAGTAATTAATCAACAAATCTGCCTTATTGGGAAGATATTGTGTGACTGAGAGCTGACGTTTCTTAAGTCAAAACATGTCAGGCAATGGGGCTAATTGTATGTTACAGTCACACACCTGGTTCACTCTATCATATATTGAGATGATATCCTAAAATGCAGTTCTTTGAGCACTGAACTACTCCAGTCAATAGCATGTGATTCTGTTTTCATGAAGACTTGATTCAGCTGCTATCTGTTTTTTGGAAAATATTGACTAAGCATCTGCCATGTATCTAGCAATGCTCTGGACATTGGAGACATGAAGGTAAATATGACATGATCTCTTCTCTGGGGAGCTCACAGTCAGCCTCAAATGAACTTCAAAATATTTCAGTTCCTTGAGAAAGAAGGTTAGCTATTTGGGTCTCTTGAAGTTAAACATTTTGGAGAAAGGGGATGAAAACTGATTACAAGGGTGAAAACCTCAATTCTACAAATAAAACGTTTCTGTTCTATTGCTCAACATGAATTTTAAATGAAAGAAAATTAGAAGCTGCCATTCTAGCTTACCTTTGTCTGATACTGACATGGAGGTCAGCCTCCAACATCAGTAAAATACCTTCACTTTGTTGGAACATATACTGCTCCACACCTGTGACAGATCCACCCCAAGGAGAAAGACAGTTGTTTAGGATGGCCAGTGCCTCCTGCCAAAGCAGATGTTCTTCTCCGTTCACTTCCACGGGGAAATGTATCCCCTGACTATTTACATTCGTGTAAATATTGTTCTTTAATTCATGATTTGGAGCAGATGGAAAGCAAAGTACACTTTGTACTATAGTGGAATCTGCCCAAGATACCTTATTTTTGTTCTGGCCAATGAGATAAAGGAAACTCCCCTCTCACAGTCCCCTCAAATTCTGAACAATCTGCAATCTGTTCAACACACACACTCACCTCTTCCTGTCTACACAGCTAAGCTTTTTCTCTACTTGCAATATTAACTCACAATTATAACTCCTTTCCTTCTATCCATTTCCAAAACTGAGTTATTTGGAGAAATTCACACCATGAGGGTGGGATTTTATCTATACACGTTTACTAGGAGGTGAGGGATATATCACAAATATTCCTGATCTGCTTGCTTATACAGGAAAAAAAATTAAATACATTCAGTGAAGACTTTATAAGCATTTTTGGTGTGATGAAGGAAGGAAGGCTTTAAAACCTTAACCCCAGATTACCAGTAAGACTATCCAAAAAATCAGAGACCCTCAAAATCCAATGTCCTCTTTCCTACTCTCCTATTCTCCATTTTTTTTATCACTGGTTCCTACGCATATTAATAAGGATTGGGTTAAAATGGAAAATATCTTATATTTTTAAATCCTGGTAATAAATGTAGCTTATCTTTTTAACAACATTTAAATAAACACATTAGTAAAACTTAGAGCTAAAATGTTTTTATTTAAGAAAAAATACATTTGATATGATCCCAAAAATATAAATATAGATTAACTGGTTTATACATAAAGTAACATTTCACTAAAGATGATGGAGGGTTTGTTGAAGCTATTTGAATAGGAGGCAAGTTGGGTTTTGAGGGGTTTTGCTGGGCATTATGATCACATGCCTTAGCCCACCAACCAGAAGCATGTCGGTTTATCAAATACACAAGAAAACTGACCTCAAGTTTGTCCCCTTTTGCTTTTCTATATGTTAGCATTTAAGAACATAGAGTACTCTTACTTTTCTATTTCATTACTTTATTTTACTTCTTATGTAAATTTTAAGCTAAATCCAATTTTGCTTTTAAAGCAATATAGCATTAAGATGCAGACAAAGGGTAGATGATTTCAGCAGAAGCAAAATTGTTCATTCTTCTGTCTTCCCCAAAGTTCAAGGTATTTGGGTAATAAACCAAATGATGGTCACTCAGCTGTACTTCTGTTTCCAGCGGGTAAGAATGTTTCTCACCAAAGAGAACTCAGAATTATTCTTATTTCCATGTAGGTGTTTCCTCAGCAACCTGGGACCCCGGGCATGGCTAGTTTGAGCCTGGAGGTATGTACTGTCAGAGCACCGACACTGGATGTTTACGTCTGTAAGCTCCTGATAGGACAGAAAGTGATGGGCTGTTTCTCGGTTTTCCCAGTCAGCAGCAGCCGTCCCCCTGGGCAGTTCTTGAGAAGCTTACGACATCTATTAGAGCCTTGTTTTATCATTTTACTTCATTTTAAATTATCAAGTGTTTCAGTCCTTAGAACATCATCTGTATGTGAATCAAAGCAATACTATTATTTAAAACCTAATATATATACGTTAACATAATTATTACATTAATATAATCACTATATTAATTAAAACACATGGTTCTGAAGTCACATGTGGCTTATATTTAGTTTCTTCTCCTTATAGTATCTTATATTATAAAGTTCTCATGAAGAAAATTTACCTTACAAAATTTAGTTATTTAGCCCCGGCCGGTTTGGCTCAACATTTGGAACGTCAGCCTGCGGACCAGAGAATCCTGGGTTCGGTTCCCACTAGGGCCATGTACCAAAAAAAAAAAAAAATTTAGTTATTTATAAGAACTCTGTAAATAACACTGACATTGTATCTGCTGCATAAACGGGGGGAGTTTCATTGCCTTTCTCTTAACTAGTATATACTCTGTTTAGGAAATCCCAGCAAAATGGAACTGTTGTATATATTAACAGTTGCAAATAGGAAAATACTTATGAAATTATAAATTTTTCACAAGGCCTTGCAAAACGTATTCACATTATAACAGTCTGAGGTCAATTGATACCTGTATTGGCTAGATGCCTATTTTCACATGTAAGCTAATTTCACTAGGTTATTTTTTTTCTCACTTTCTAGTTCAAACTCAATTCAAAGCATTCTAAACCTCTTCCCATTAAATTCAAATTGACTTTCTGTTGAATCGCCAGTATTTTTGACAATCTATCCAGATACCATTTCCCCAATATCTTTTTTTAAAATATGTTTTTATTATTGAGAGAGAGAGAGAGAGAGGAAGAGACAGGAAAGAGAGAGAGAGAGAAATTTTGATATGAGAGAAACATGGATCTGTTACCTCTCGTATGCATATGTGTCCTGACCAGGAATCAAACCGGCGATCTTTTGGTGCTTAGGGATGACACTCAACCAACTGAGCCACACCCACCAAGGCTTTATTTTACCTTTTTTTTTTTTATGGACTTTTTTGTTTGGGAGAGAGATGGAGGTTGTCTCATTTTGTTTCATTTGCCTGTTGTTGTTTTTTTCAAATTCAGGTTGAATTTTAAATGGCAAAGTATGATAAAAGAGGGCAAAGAGAGTCAATGAAGCAATGTCTTCATGCTTACATTTATATTTCAGTTGAGTGAGCTATTTTCCCGTGTTTCAAAGTGATCTCAATTAAATGCTTTTCCTCTCTTAATTAATAATAAAAAGCAAACTAACCACTGTAATAGCAATGATAACAACAGTGGCAGAACCACATTCGATACTCCACTTTTCAGTGGTAATTAATGTCTACTTCTATTTTATTCAAATTGACCCACTCTGAACTTTGTGTTAATAATATATGCTGAGAAATCAGTTGTGTCATACGGAAAAGGAGAGTATGTGGTGAACAGTAACCCACGTTTTTTCTTCACAGACAATGAGACAATTGGGCACCTTGCAGGGATTAAACATGCTTTCTCAGGTAACCTTATTTTCAAATATTTCTTATTGCAAGTACAGTATTGATGGTGGTGACAGCAGTGGCGTTAGCAGCCACGTTGTCATTTATAAAATGTTTGTGAACAGGCACCATCCTAAAGATTGGAAGAACAAATGACCAAATGAGATAACCTAAAACAAAATAAGATTCTGGGATAGGCTGGCAGGGGAAAATAAAAACAATATTGAATTTTTTTTTGTAAAAAAATCATTTTTTGCATTATCAGTGTTACTATACAGCCCAAAATATGAGTGCTTAAAAAGCCAAATTCCAAACAAGTGTATGAGGGTATTGCAGTCAGCTTCAGAATGGAATGAAAGTGTGTTGGAAGACAGTGTTTACCTACCCATATTAAATTAACTAATATCACTTACCTTTGCTATCTCTACACTTTCGAGGTATCTTTTAGAAAACAAAAACCATGTTTAAGCCAATATTGAAATAGAAGTATGTTTCTTTCTTTCTCTCTCTCTCTCTCTTCCCACCATGTCTTCAGTACTCAAGATTTGGCTTTGGGAAATCATTTAATTCTTTGTGGATGCATGGTCTCCTCCCACCACATTCCTCCTTCCCGTGGATGAGACCAAGGGAACATGAAACTCAACAGGTAAGTTAGTTGAATCAATGTGTTTGAAATGTCAAGCTTTAAAATATCCCCTCCTTACATTCTCTACATTGTCATATACGGCCCACAGAGTAATGAACAAAAAATTATCCAGATACCAAATACATCAAAACTTGTAACTGTTTTGAGTACTTCAGAATATTTAAAATAAAACAGACCAATTTCTCAACCCATTTGAACATTTATCTCAAATAGAAAAATATAGACTCCCAAATATGAGACCTAAGTTAAAGATATCAGCCATAAAAATAAACTATCCTCAAAATGGAAACAGGCTAAATCCTGGGCAATTTTCATTTTAATCAAGATTCCCGAAATAATTATTAAAAGGCACATTTAAAATGATGCCAAAGTCCTGATTAAAACATCATGAACCTTACAGCAATCAATAAATACATTAGTTAATTTTAACCATTATTTACTAGGTGCCTAATACATAAACCAAATTGCAGATTGGAAGTGAAAGTAAAGATATTTGAGAATGGCTCCAAGGCACATAGGATTTCAGATCCAACTGGGAAATAGGACAGAACAACATGTTACAAGTTGCTAACTTGTGAGATATAAGTAATGAAGGAGGAATAAGGAACAAAGGCTTCCGGTCAAGATGGCAGCGTAGGTAAACACGGTATCGTGTCCTCACACAACCACATCAAAGTTACAACTAAAGTACAGAACAACCATCATTCAGAACCGCCTGAAATCCAGCTGAATGGAAGTCCTACAACTACGGAATTAAAGCAGCAGCCACATCCAGACTGGTAGGAGGGGCGGAGGAGGACGGGCTGGTTCCACACCCAAGTGTGGCGGATAAAAATCAGGAGGAAACCTCAGCTGGGAAGGTCCTTCCTGAGGACTGAGGGGCCCCGTCCCACACCAGGTGCCCCGTTCAGGGTTCCAGTGCCAGGAAGAGAATCTCCAGAACTTCTGGCTGGAAAAACCAACGGGAACTGAGGCTCAGGGAGGCTGAAGCAGCTGGAGCCCCAGGCAGCTCCTTAAAGGGCCCACACACAGACTTATCGGACTCCCTCCCTCTAAGCTTGGAGGGGAGGCAGCTCAAGGGGCACCAGAGACATACAGGGAAGTACTGAGCTGTTTGGCATTGAAGCGAGGGCTAGAGAGGCAGCCTTCTCCTGAACAGATGTGCTGTCAGAGGCCTTTGTTCCTTTGGTGAGCCCTTCCCTGGGGCAGCAGACAGCCACCATATCTGGGACTCCAGCAACCTGGCTCACACTGGTAGCCCCGCCCTGCTGACTCCCTGAGGCCCTGCCCTGCCCCACCCAACTTTCAGGCCCACCCAAGCTGTTGCCAGTTGCTTAACCATAGGATCGGCCTGTTTTGATCCTGCTTCAGGTTTTCCTAAATTCTTTCAAACAAGCAGCATCTGGTCTCAGCTAGCTCCATACTTCTCATTAAGTAATACACAGAAACAAACACAGGGAGGCAGCCAAAGTGAGGAGACAAAGAAACAGGTCCCAAATGAAATAACAGAACAAAACCCCAGGAAAAGAACTAAGCAAAATGGAGATAAGCAACCTAACAGATGCTGAGTTCAAGATACTGCTTATAAGGATGTTCAATGAATTTAGTGAGAACTTCAGTGAACTTAGTGAGGGCCTCAAGAGCATAAAAAAGGACCAGTCAGAAATGAAGGATGCACAGTCAGAAATGAAGGAGGCACTATATGAAATAAAGAAGAATTTACACTGACTCAATAGTAAAGTAGGTAAAGCCAAGAAACAAACCATCGATTTGGAATATAAGGAAGCAAAAAACACCCAATCAGAACAGCAAAAAGAAAAAAGAATCCAAAAAAATGAGGATAGTGTAAGGAGCCTCTGGGACAACTTCAAGTGTGCCAACATTCGCATTGTGGTGGTGCCAGAAGAAGAAAAGCGAGAACAAGAAATCGAAAACGTATTTGAAACAATAATGGCAGAAAACTTCCCTAACTTGGTGAAGGAAACAGACATACAAGTCCAGGAAGCACAGAGAGTCCCAAACAAGATGAACCCCAAGAGGCCCACACCAAAACACATCATCATCAAAATGCAAAAGGTTCAAGACAAAGAATCTTAAAGCAGCAAGAGAAAAGCAGTTAGTTACCTACAAGGGAGTTCCCATAAGACTGTCAGCTGATTTCTCAAAAGAAACTTTGCAGGCCAGAAGGGAGTGGCAAGAAATATTCAGAGTGATGAAAAGCAAGAACCTACAACCAAGATTATTCTATCCTGCAAAGCTGTCATTTAGAATCAATGGCCATATAAAGTTTCCAGACAAGGAAAAGTTAAAGGAGTTCATCACCACCAAACTATTATTATATGAAATGTTATTACATCTTTATCTTTTGAAGAAAAAGATAAAATATATGAACAAACAAAATGACAATGAATACATATCAATCGACAATTGAATCTACAAACAAAATGAACAGGCAGAACAGACGCATTCTCATAGATACAGAGAACATTTTGTTGGTTGCCAGATGGGAGGGGGGTTGAGGGAATGGGTGAAAAAGGTGAAGGGATTAAGAAGTACAAATTGGTAGCTAGACTGACAAACCTAAAAGGGAAGGGAGTTGAGGGGTGGGAAGAAATAAACCAAAGAACTTATTGCATGTATGCATAACCAATGGATACAGACAACAGTGTGGGAAAAGGCAGGAGGGGGAGGGGAGTGGGGACGAGGGGGTCAGTGAGGGAAAAATGAGGAATATCTGTAACACATTCAACAATAAAGATAAAAAAAAAAAAAAGGAACAAAAGCCACAGGAATTTATAGATGGACAATGGTTGTCATATGATCCATGTCACTTTGAGGAGCTGGCAATCAATTTAAAAATAGTAGGGAGCCATTTACCACAGGTAATTTTTTTAAAAGATCAACAAAACATGGTTGTTTTAACAGGAATTTGTATGTCCAGATGGCCTCCCACAACAGGTAGCATTGCCCATCAAACCACATTTAGTGGGACAGTAAATTATATTAATGGTGACTGTTCCTCCCCTTGATTGTTTTCAAAATGGACTCTGTAGTGCAGAAATATGATTTTGGTGTTTTATTTAATTACGCCTTCTCCTTTCATTTGCTCAATAAATATACCGCCATGTGCCAGGCGCTTGTTAGGAGCTATGTTAAGTCTTGGGGCTATCAGGATAAAGAAGACGTATTCTATCTCAGTTGATTGGGGACAAAGATTAATGAGAAATAATTTTAATCCAGTGAGAAAGTGATAAAATAGAGACGCATAAAGGCAACTGAGAACCCAGTGGCGGAAATGACTCGTTCTACGAGGAAGTCCACGTAGCTTCCTATCTTCACGAGCAGGCTCTTCCAAGTGGGAAGGTCCCCAAGCTCTTTTGCTTTAGCAAGTCTAGACAACTCAGTTCAGTGAGCCATTGCTTCCTGACACTCCTTTCAAATTTCTCTGCAGTATGAATATTCTTTGCCTGTGCATCCCCCACCTCTCCCATCGCAGCCATCCCTACAGCCTCAACAGCCAGGACAGAAACCTTTCCTCCCCCCCACGGTGGTAACCGCCATCCAAGACGCAGTCCAGAAGGGAGGACCTCAGCCTCCTGTGTACCAGGGACAGCCACCCTTGCAGCAGGCAGAGGGGCCAATGATTCAACAGCAGGTGGCACCATCAGAGAAGCCACCGAAGACCGAGGTAATTCCTTCCTCTGAAGTCAGATCAGGATCACCCACTAACTTAATGAAAGAAAACTAATTTGCAGAGCACCTCTAAATAATTAGAGCTTTGGAACATAATGCATGAAAATACAAATGTTTTTAAACAGTTGACGTATCTTGAGTAAAACAAATATTCATTCCTGTCTGTTGCTAGCAGGGGAGGGAGTATGGATTCTAAAAAATCCTGTGTCTATAAAATGTGGTTTCTTAATTGAAAAAAAAAATGAAAATTTTTCGAGAAAATAGGGAAGCCCAGAGAGGTCCAGGTTTGCTATCATCGGGATCCTTTTCACTATTGGAAGGACAGAGAAGAGTTATGGATCCCTCAGCATTGCAAGTAGTATTTTGCATTATTATTTCTCTATCTGGTAGTAGAGAAGACAGCCATGCAAAAGTATCTCATGATAATGTAGAGGAGAGAGCAATGGACAGAAAAGGAAGGGACCATATAACTAGTATGCTGCAGACCATTTAACATTTCCCCATATCATCCTGACTACCGTCCTATAAAAATGGATATTACTATCCTTTTTTAAAAAGAAGACAGACTTTGAGAGGTTATAAAATTTTTTTCAGTATCACACAAAAAATTAAGTCACAGAGTCAGGATTCAAACCAACCTGATATGCTTCTATTCCAAAACCCATTACTTTCCACTGTGCAAGACAAAGCAAACCCAATAAACATGCTGCATCTCCCTGCCCATGCACTGAATCATGTCAGTAAAAGGCAGTTGTAATCTCTTAGTCTGTAATCCCCAAGACTAATGAAAGTGAAAATTGGGAAACTTATGTGAGATTGTTTTATCACATTCATAAATAAGAGTGTGTTCAGTTTACTCTGTCTATGTTGATAGTTTAGTAATTTTAATATTTATCTGTGATGCAGCTACCAGAAATGGATTTTGCTGGTCCACAAGGTCCATCAGTAAGTACAGATCTCAATAAGACTTTCTTGGGGAAAATATCTCCATCCTTCATGAAAAAGAGTAAAAATTTTAAATTGCCCCATGTATTATGAATATGAAGTATAATGAGTTCCTTTGTTTTCTTAAATATTAAATACTTCATTGTCATATGAATACATCTAAAAATGTGTTTCATGTAAGTCTTAGAAATGGATGTAATGGGAGGTTTGTCTGTGTTGTAGCAAATATAAAGTACTTATTCTGTTTTCTACCACTTAAAGATATTCTCAATAGCCCGTTTGATATCTCAGGGACCACTGCCACGCAATAAACCATCTCCGGTAAGTTTTTTAAATACCATTTTTATTTAAAAGTGTTTCCCTTGAAAAATGCATTTTGTGATTATTATTGTATTTGTATTTAGCTTTATCCGGGAATGTTTTACATGTCCTATGGAGCAAATCAATTGGTAAGTCTATATTCTATAAAAAGTGTAATTTTTAATTAAATGTTACCTTAAGAGCTAAAATTATAAAATCTAGTTCTTACACAATAGATTCCATATACTCTGAATGCCTAAATTAGCAACTGAAATGGCAAAGAGACATACTTCCTATTTGGATAATTCTGGCCACACACACACACAGCATTAAAGAAAAAGTAAATTTGCCATCTGAGTTATACAAATTGGCTACATTTATTCAATTATTCTCATCTCTACACTTATACTCTGTCTCTGGACACAGCAGTAATATTAAGATTTAAGCAGAAGCTAAATGATCTTTAACTTTGTTTTGATTAGCTACAATAGGAACCAGTTGCTTCATAATACCATGTAATGTTTCTTTTGTAACAGAATGCTCCAACCAGACTTGGCATCATGAGTTCAGAAGAAATGGCAGTGAGTAATTCTTCAAACTCTTAAATTAATGTCATGGGAGAACAGTCACAGATGACTGGCTGCAAGAGGCTTTGGCTATGAATGTAGCCAAATATACAGCATGGGACTCAGATTGTTCTGCTCCAAAACCAAAAGCTTGATTCTGAAACAAGCAAAGATTTCATCAAATTTCCCATGTAGACATTTCCGAGAAATAATAATTCTTGAGCATAGGGTTTTTGCCCCATTTCTTGACTATGAAGAGAGAAGAAATCTCTCTTGAAAAGTCATCATTTAATGGCAAATGCTTCAACCAAAAAAGATACCCATGCTTCATACAAAGTTCCTGTTCCCTCTCAGACCACTGAACCCCTCAAAACAAATTCAACAGCATCACAAATCATTTAGACCTCAGAACTAAGAGATGAAAAAGGAAAAAAAAATTAACCAAGTTGAAATTTTTATTATTATAAAATTGAAAGTCTGATAATAAGTTAATTCAAGTATATTCTTATTCTGTTATCATCATCCACATATATTACAACTTTAAAATGTGAAGTCAGTAGACTCACACTATTTAACTTTTTCTCGGAAATTTCATGTTGCATCTGTTAGAGCACAAAGCAAAACAAAACCATATTGAATTAACAAATCTTCAGCAACTACAGATCTTACCAAATTAATCAACACACCCACATGCTATCACTGAAAGAAAATTTGCATCTCGACATAGTGTGCCTTCTTGTGAGCTAGGCTGATAGAAAAATATGATAGAGGCGAAATAAGTAAGTGTCCTGTTCTCAAGGAGTTTACAGTATAATCAATGGAAAAGACCAATACAAGGGCAATAGTCAAAATCATGTGATAAGACTATCAGAACTATAAAAGAAAGAACAGGGGCATTTAGCCCAGCCCTGTGGTACAAAGTGCCACCCCTGGCAGAGGTAATGCAAAAAGCTAAGAGCAGAGAGCCAGGAAGAAGTAAGAGAAAAGAGCATTGTATCTATAAAACATCAAGTAAGTGTTAATTATCATCTTATAATTTTAATTCACTTATTTATATTCTGCCTCATATTCAAAAGCTTTTGTTGTAACTTATAAAAAACACACAATAAATGTAACCCAAAAAAATCAAAGATAGAAATTGAAATAAATTAAAATTGTGAGGAAATGAGAATACAGATATGCAAGTTACAGAGCCCTAAACAATCTCTGTGAATAGCCCAAGATTTTGATTTCGAAATTTGGGGCAGCAAAGGAAAAAGAAAAAGAAAGAAACATGTTCAGGTCTAGAATTTCAACTGTCTAAAGGAACAAAATATTTCAGTTCCTCCAGAGAAATCAAGCTCCTTTTTCTAATACATGTTTTTATTTTTGTATAAAAGGAAAAGAAAAAGAAATCTTACATAGGGTTTCACTCATTTGAGGGATACTGAGAAATGATATTGACAAGATCCTCCAAAATCCCTTGTTTTATCACGGTATTGTCCTGTAGACTTGGTTTTTCCCCGTTTCTCTTCCTGTCCTGTCAGCCAGGCATGGCAAAGGGTGAGCTTCCCCCCAAAGAGTGCAGAATTCTCTCTCTCCTATTTCAAAGCCAGGTTCCTGAGAAATGTGTTTACAGGAAGCCAGCAGCCAACTGCCTGTTCCCTATCAGTGTTTTATGGTTTCTCAGTGAATCTGACCAGGAATAACTGCGTGGTATAGTAATAGTATGTGATAACGGTGTATTTGGTAAATGTTTTTTTTCCAGGGAGGCAGAGGAGGCCCCTTGGCCTATGGAGCCATGTTCCCAGGATTTGAAGGCTTGAGGCCGAGCCTCGGAGGCATGCCCCCCCATCCCGGCATGGGTGGGGACTTTACTCTAGAATTTGACTCCCCTGTCGCTGGAACCAGAGGCCCAGAAAAGGGAGAAGGAGTTGCACAAGGCTCCCCGGTGCCAGAGGCAGAGGCCAACCCAGCCAATCCGGAAAACCCAGCTCTCCTTCCGGAGGTAGTAATGCCTGGTGCCCTTGGAGGGCTTCTCGCTCTCCCGAAGGGCAGTATTCCCAGCCTGGCTGGGGACCCTACAGAGCACAGCAAGGGATCCCCCGGGGTTACCCCAGCAGCCGCTGACCCACTGATGACCCCTGGATTAGCTGATGCTTATGAGCCCTATGTCGCTGATACAACCACACCCTTGGGAGAAACGACTGTGGATACCACAGTGACCCCAGACACAGAGCAAACATCGATGCCAGTAAACGAGGCCCAGCCGCCCCATATTATGCCTCATGCGTGGCATTTCCAGGAGCCCTGAGAGCCCGGAGAGATCAGCTGCCTTCCGTATGCACCAGCTCCCCGGCTCTGTCCCCACAGCCTATCTGTTTGCTAGCACACTTATCACCCTTCTGCAGCAAAGGCACAGTAATAAATACAAGTGGCTAGAAATAGTGTAGGTTCCCTTCTTGCTTTCATTCTCTTGTTGAAATAAAAGGTGTTGACTGTCTCTGTGATGTGGAAATACTATTGATCTCTGCATTTGAAAATCACTGTTTCTTAGCTGTCTTGGGCATTATAGAACTGCTCTTACACGTGTGACAGACACTGTTATATCCAGAAAACGTGACACTGCTTTGGGTATTTTTCTCTACGCAAAGGCACATATTCTCAGAATTATAAGCTATCTCATTTAAATGTTACTAAATGGGGATCAGTGGACAATCCCTGACTGGTATTACTGGGTTTGGTATGTTGGACTTTAAATTCTCATTTGTAGAGTATTTTATTTAATCTAGTAAAAACATCTGGCCTATTTTAAATAAAGAATTTTTCTCACTGAAAATATCAGGAGTTATACGTGTATTATTTACATATATTTAAATGGTTAATAAAAGCATACTCATCCCCTACCTTTGCTACTCTTTAACCCATTTTATTCAGTTCATTCATTCTTTCATGGGAAGTTTGTTGAGTATCTATCAACGTCTTACGTAATGTACTAGGCGACCAGGACAACTTACAATGGAGATTTTTGAAGAGTAGACAGACAACCACAATAATAACAAACAGCCACTCTGGGCCAACCTCAAGTACTGTACATATATTGTCTTTCAAAAACATTGCAAAATAGATATTTCCAAACCCACCACACAGATGAACAGTGCTATGAAAAGGCCAAGTACCATGTGAGCATTAACTTGTCTCCTGAGAAATGTAACGATGGAAAAGAGGACTCAGAAAATGATCATGTCACCAAACTAAGTATGTATCAGTGAAGGCTAATTGCCTAAATTAAGAGGTTCCAAGGCCAGGCCTGGTCGCCCCTAAAAAGCAGCCTCCTGTCCCTTTCTGTCCACTTCCCCCTAAGTTGCCCAGCCCTGGTCTTAGGCTCCACAGAAGGCAGACGGGGGATGAAGGAGAGGAGCCCTGAGCTGCCTCCTGACTTGGGGTACCTTAGGAGCCTCAGCAGGAGCATGCAGCCACCATCCATTGCCTCCCTCCTCACGCAGGGCTCTGCTCACCCCATTCTGTGGCCAGGGCCTAAAGAGCCATGCAGGAGTTAAGAAGTCAGTTTGCATCCCATAGTGGCTCTGGCAAAGGTGCAAGGGTAGGAGAATGACCTCCTCTGAGACCCACCTTAGCAATCCATACACTCTCCTAGAAAGCAGCATGCTAAAAGACATGCAGACAGATCTGGGTTCACACCCTGACATCACAGCTAACCATCTATAAGTCTCTGGAAGTGAGACTTTATCTCTCTGCTCCTGTGTTTTCATTTATATGGTGGAGCTACAACTCAATCCCCCTCACAAGGCCATTGGGAGAATGAAGTGAGATAAAGCACAGAAATGGAATTGCTGAATCATAGTAGTTTCCTTTTTTCCCTCCTGATCCTTTCCATAAAGACAACCTAGCAAAGCAGCAGCAGTAACAATGGAAGAATGAATTGTTCCCTGGATCTGATGAATTGGTGCTTTCCTATCACATGCCACACGCTGACCTTCTGATCCAGCTTGGCAACTTGGAACATGCATTTATGAGGTCACATGCTGGTTTCCTGATGGATGTTGTCACATCAAGGGCTCAAAGTTGACCCCTGCAATTGGCAGACTGGGCAATAGTTAATAGTTAGATCAACTTTGACAAGGGGGGGAATACTATGTTCTTAAGCCCTGGAATAACCTCTGTCCCTGCCACGAATACACTTTAAACACTCATCCACAGAGCAAACGCCAAAGTGGCCAGGGAAAGAAGCTAAATATCACCCAAGGGGTGGGGGAGATCCTAATTATTGAGAATTTTCTCCACTGGGGTTTCCCTCTACTGGGCATTTACATGAGAAACAAATATCTTCACACCATAGCCCACTCTGAGAGGTCTATGCAAATAGCCTGCCTTCTGGACCTTCTTATTACTAATCTATCAATTTTCCTCTTTCAAAGTTCCTGACTAGCTAACCAATATGGTACGGACCCTAAATCGGTGTAAATTTGCACCTCAGGCCATCTCTCCTTCCAGACAAAATAGACAACCAGTGTGTCATTTAAAGTTCTGCCCACTGAATGGGGCGTGGTACATTAACTGTCCACTTCCAGCTGATGCCAAAATCCCGTACAGAAATCCATGAGCCAGGCACACACTCTTTCCTCTCCACTAATTGACTAGAGGTAGGGTAGCCATATAATTGATTCTCCAAACTGGGACACTTTTGCAAATGAAAACTGGTATTGTGAATGATGAATGAATGTTGAACAACAGGTATAGACCAGTCATACCTAGGAAAAACCTGGACATCTGATTATTCTAATCATATGGAATTCCCCATGAAGCCAACTGTAGAAAGAGGGGAAGGCAAAGTTATAAAGAGGAAGTACTCGCCCTGGCCGGTTTGGCTCAGCGGTTAGAGCGTCGGCCTGCGGTCCGGAGAGACCCGGGTTCGGTTCCCGCTAAGGGCACGTACCTCGGTTGCAGTTTGTCCCCGGCCCTGGTTGGTCGTGCGGGTGGCAGCCACTCGATGTGTCCCTTCACATCGATGTTTCTCTCTCTCTGTTCCTCTCTCTCCCTCCCGCTCCATCTGAACAAAAAATGGAAAAATGTCCTCGGGTGAGGGAAAAATAAATAAATAAATAAAGAGGAAGTACTCTAAAATCTGAACCGGCTGTTTATGCAATTTATTGGAGCCTCCTAGACTGGTGTCATACCTATCATTTTAACTTAAAATGAGATGCTGCCGTTTGTATTCAGTTTTGTGGTTCAATGGATCATCTGTCACCTAGTTCAAGGGGGACAACTCAAGCAGCATAATCACTTAACATCCCATAATCAGGCACATGATCTCTATCAGGGTTCAGTAGCAAGGCAGAAACTACTTCTCACCAAAAAACAAAAAACAAAACCTTAAGGCTCTGTTATATTATTCTGTCAGGGCTTGCCAGAGGTCCCATATAGCCATAGATAGTTCCCATATATTTGGGTCCCTGTGTCATAATGCCCAAGTGATAGGGAAGCATATGCTACCGTGCAAACCCCTTTCTTGCCCTAAGTCCTACTCAAAACTGTCAGCCTTTAAAGTTATACAGTATGTAGTATATGTAGTATATACAGTAAGTAGAAGTCCAAAAAGCATTGTGATTCTCTCTTTTTGTGCAGTGGAGCAAGCTGCAGAAACCTGCCTTTCCCTTTGCTATCCTGAGGTGCCCCAGACTGCTAGACTTCTAGAAGGGTTAGCTGCCTGATGAACATTTGCACTATTTATCTTGCACCCTCTGGCTTACTGTTTCATGCTAATCAAAACCTATTGCATTCTGTCTCTGGTGTAATGGACTGGTGGGGTGTCCTGCAGAATATGAAGATGATCAAGGATCCTTAGGACTGTATTATGACAAATTGCAGGAGAGGTGACACAGTCCTAGGGCAAGAGAGTTTAAGTTTTATTGGTGCTGACTTTTCTTACTGACTGTAATAGAAAGAAAGCATCTGCCAGATCCATAACCACATACTTGGTGCCGCGGTCTATGCTGATTTGCTCCAATAAACTGACCACATCTAGAAAAGCTACAACTGTCATCACCACCTTGCTGAGTTTGTAGTAATCCACTAGCTTTTGCATCGGCTGAACAGTTGAGTTAAATAGGGAGGTGGTAGGACAACTTTCCTATATTTCTCAAGTCTTCAAAGGTGCCACTAAGCTCTGCAATTCTCCCTACAAGAGTTACCATCTTGTTGGGGGTTAGGGGAGGGGTGGGGGAGAAAGAATCCAGTTCCAGAAGCTTTCTCCGCTTGGCCCTTCCTACCGTAGTAGCCTTCATTTCACTAGCACAGGAATCAATGTGGGAGTCTGCCGGGTGTTAGGCATACCTAGTCTCACTATATGTCTTGGACTAGGGAAATAGCCACAAGACAGATGCATTGGACCTACTGTTACATGGAGGTGGACCACGACTCCATTTCTCATCCGACTTCTGTAAGCTTTAATTGGTAAACTATGTCGGCTTTTCCAGGTCAGCATCACTGTCTAATAACCTACAGAAAGTCCAGGTATTTCCTTTCCCTTCCCCACCCTACATAGTTACCCCAGTGAACTGCTTCAGGCCCTGCCTCTAGAGAAAGCTTAGAGAGACTTTCATTGTCTATACATGTGGCCAAATTCAGTCTTTTCTCACAGAAACCTGGTCTCCCCTCAGCTAAGGGGCTCTAGGTATGGAAACTGGTTAAGAAACTGTGAATTCCACTGTGGGGACTTGAGTTGCGTTCAGTGAACCTAGATTTTTTTTTGGTCTTTGTATGTCAAGTAGCACCTTAACAAGATGTCATCTATTTTTTTTCTAGAGACCCATGATCTACTAGCCATCACCACAGATCGTTATGGATCAAAGCACCCTGATTACCATTTCATCCTGAGGGTTATCACATCCTCCTTGTCTCTGAGAGGGGCCCCACCATCTGGTCTGTACTTCAGAATCTTATTTTTCCCACTGAAAGTCCAAAGCAGCATCTACCATCATCATATCTGTTCTCCAGAGGATAAAACCACAGAGCTCTTCATAATGCCTTAGTGAAGAAGGTGCTTTCTGGGCCCTTCTGGGTGGAGAAGGGTGGGGAGTGAATCTGGAGTGGTAAACATAATATACCCGTTATTCCTGTGTGTCTCGCAGGTATACATTTTTATGCAGTACTTGAATAATCTTATTTTTATTTATATCAAGTGATGATGGTTTTTCATTTGCAGAGGCAAAAATGAGGTTCCTTTTCAAATACATTGTCGAATATATTAAGTGAATAGGACAAGTTACAGCAGGAAATGGCAATGATGATAAAGGCAGTACATACATGACTATGAACATGAACAAAGTTTGAAAAAAACATTAATTTAATCCAATCTTCTCATTTATGGGCAAGGAGACTAATGCCCGGAAGACTACTGCCTTTTTTCAAGTTCTGGTTTGTATTAGAGGATGAAAACCCAGGCCCTTGGATTTCCTGTTCAGCACTGTCCTACACAGCACCACCAAGCAGTCAAGAACTTAATGAAAGCTATGAATGATCTCTTCTTAAAAAGAAAACAGAGAGAACATCTAAAATTCTGCTTACTATTTCAGCGATTACTCAGAATGCCTAAGTTTAATCATTCAAATACCTACCTGTACATAATATTATACAAGTTGAAGCAAATATTCAAACTGACCCAGACTCACAGTCTGAATTTTTTTGGACCTTTCTCTCTTTGAGAAAATAAGTGTTAAACACATTAAAAGCTTGGCACTTCTAAGTGTGTTTCTCTTTCATCCAAAACTGCTCAGCACAATCCCTGAACGAGTAGCTCAG